AGTGTTTTTTGGTCACCTGGACACAAATTGGGACATCTGGGAAGAGGCACCCTTAATAGAGAAAACTCCTCCATCAAATTATCTGGGAGGCAAGTCTGTGGGCATTTTCTTTATTGATGACTGATGTAGGAGAGCATTGATGTAGCAGGGTTCCCCACTGTGTATGCCTTGAAGCTGCTTTCTCTGGCTGTCAGAAGCTTTATAGGATTCAAGAAAGAAATTTTGAAGGATGCGCAACATTGAGTCCGAGAGCTTCACTGGGAACACTAGGCTATTTACACACGGGAGTCCCTACGACGTAATCCGTAGCTATTATTAGCTTTGGATCAGGGTCTTTCTAGGTAGTGTGCCTGGTCTCAAAGTTGGCGGTTCTCCTGCATTCTTGTCCTGAGTGTTGTGATAACAGGTGTGTGTCATGACACCCAGCTTACTAATATTCTTAATTAATACTACTTATCACATAATGTTGTGCTTATCACTTCTTGAAGGTTTTGCAAACACTGACTAATTAGGAGAATCATGTGAAATGCAGGAGGTTGGTTCACAGGGTTTCTGGTTTAATTTCCTCCTGGAGCCTCGTGTCTATATTGTGCCCTTCCAATTGTCAGGTCCAAATTTTGACCGGTAGACTAAAACCAGCATTCCTTGGGAACTTGTGAAACTAATCCCTTCTACCGAAGGAGCCACCTCCTTTTTCTTGGCCGAAGAGACAAATGGCTACCTGTAGTGTCTATTACTATACCAAACGCATGGCAGTCTCCATGGCTACCTGTAGTGTCTATTAGTATATCAAACGCATGGTGGTCTCTAGGCGTCCTCAGTATCACAAGTACCTGCTATACATTTCAGAGTCATGCTGGCGCCTGGCTCTTCTCCCCCTGTTCCTTACTCTGAACTTCTCAGCTCACGGGCGTTCCTCCCCTAGCTCTTCATTTCTCCTTAAAACCCTGCTATTTTGGCTTTGCTCCTTGTCTTTTCTCTTCTGCTCTTAGTCCCCTGACTCCAACCACCCATGCCCACTCTGCCATGTTTAGTCTACTACTTTCTCTCCCTGCTCTGGACTCTTCCAGATGCTTCTGGATGTTCTCTACAACTCTACAATAAAAACCTTCCCCTTAATCACACCTTTGAATGGTCATGTGATCAGTTTATACACTACTCCCCCCCTCCTGCTCTTCATTTTTCTTCCTATCTCATACTTCCCCTTCATCCATAGCCTCTCTCCTCTTCTTCATCTTCATCTTTCTGTGTCTTCTTTCCTGATTAATGAAGTGATAGGACCTATGGATCATAGGGTCCTACTTTGGTTGTGATCTTACAGGAAAATGAGTGTGGATTCATGGCTACCCTTCACACCTGATTGGTGGTGCACCATGTTACTTCCTGCCTAACTGGTGGGGCACTGCTTGGCAGCCTTAGCAAACTAATAGAGACTGTGAAAGAAATAAAATAGAAGCGACAGCGCCAGTTGATATGTCGAGGTGGACGGGGGAGTTTCACAAGGCCCCAGCCCCAGATGAAGAGCTACAGGCAATCAATGGCTGCGGAGAGAGAGAAAGAGTCAGTGTTCTTCAGGGACAAAGCCCCTGGTTGTCTAGCCAGTCCCAAGTGGTCAGTCTTAAACATGTACATGCAAGCAATGCTAAATGGACTTAGTAGGTTATGCATGCACACATGCATATATATGTAATTCTTTAATGATTAGAGAAGAAGGGGCTGGAGAGATGGCTCAGGTGTTAAAGGCTAGGCTCACAACCAAAAAAAAGATAAGAGAAGAGGTCATAAGCTTGAGAGGAGATGGGGATAGGGAAGGAACTGGAACAGAGAGAGAAAAAGATAGAAATTATGCTCTTTCGGGACTTGGCTCCAAGATGACCAAAGAAAGGAGAAACAACGGTCGTGCCAAAAAGGGCCGCGGCCATGTGCAGCCAATTCGCTGCACTAACTGCGCCCGCTGCGTGCCCAAGGACAAGGCCATTAAGAAGTTCGTCATTCGGAACGTCGTAGAGGCCGCCACCGTCAGGGACATATCCGAAGCAAGTGTCTTTGACGCTTATGTGCTCCCCAAACTCTATGTCAAGCTGCGTTACTGCGTGAGCTGTGCTATTCAGAGCAAGGTAGTCGGGAATTGATCTCCAGAAGCTTGGAAGGACCGAACGCCCCCACCACGATTTAGACCTGCTGGTGCTGCCCCACGACCTCCACCAAAGCCCATGTAACGTGGCTTCATAAAGATAGAAGAGAACACCTTGGAAAAATAAAATGGATCTTATGCATTAAAAAAAGATAGAAATTATGTAAATACACTACTCATGTGCAAAATTCTCAAAAATGAACAAAAATAAAACAAAGGGGTGGGAAGTTCTCTGGAGACTCAACATTGGTTCTTGAGTAACCAGGGAGCTGGCTGTGCCCAGGATCAGGGAAGTTCTTGGCAAAGTGAGGAGAAAGATCTGAGTGGCATGAATGAGTTAGATGAACGGCAGCAGCAACCTAGCATGAGCCTTTGCAGAGGAAACAGGGAGGCAGAAAAGGTGCAGAAGCCTGCCCAAAGACACAGCCTTCTCAAGAGTGGGACAGAGCTTGGCATATGCTCTTGCAGGGCTGGTGCCAACATTCCTGACTGTCTTGATGAAAATGCACACAGGTCAGTCAGTCTGGCAAAAGATCTGTGGTGTGAATTTGACTTCAAAGGCTTCATGGGGCTACTGGGAGACTTCATTCAGTGGTCACCATGGGATCATGGCTTCTTTGCAAGGTCATTGTAGCTGCTATGCAAAGTTTAGCATGGAGGGGAGGCCATTCGCAAGAGACCTAGAGGTGGAGCAAATCTCTGTTTGTGAATTTTTACAAGCACAATTCA